AGAGCAGCCAATCGCCGCCCTGCACCGCGATGAGTGGCTGCGGCCGGAGGACCTGCCCCTCAAGTACGCGGGGCTCAGCACCTGCTTCCGCCAGGAGGTGGGATCCCACGGCCGGGACACCCGCGGCATCTTCCGTGTCCACCAGTTTGAGAAGGTGAAGGAGCGGTCCTGGGAGGAATTTGGGGTGTACTGAGGGTTGCTGTGGGGTTCCAGTGGGAATTCAGCATGTTCCAGTGGAAATTCATGGTGTATCTGGTACCACTGCAGCATACCCAGCAGGAATTCAGGGTGTACCCATTGTCACCATGGTATGCACCCTAGTAAGTTGGGGTGTATACCCCATGTCACTGTGGGGTTCCAGTGGGAATTCAGGGTGTACCTGGTATCACTGTGGGGTTCTGATGGGAACTTCAGCTATACTCAGTGTCACTGCAGGTATCCAGTGGGAATTTGAGGTGTACTGGGTGTCACTGTGGGGTTCCAGTTGGAATTCAGGCTGTACCTGGTGTCACCGTGGGGTTCCCGTGGGAATTGGAGCTATACCTGGTGTCACTGGAATTCCTTCTCCTGCAGATTGAGCAGTTCGTCTACTCCTCCCCCCATGACAACAAATCCTGGGAGATATTTGAGGAGATGATGGCCACAGCTGAGGAATTCTACCAGTCCCTCGGGATTCCCTACCACATCGTCAACATCGTCTCAGGTAGGGGCTCCTGTGCCACAGGAGGGTTGAGGGGGGCCCTGACCTGCTTCCTGCATGGCAATTTCTTGTCTCTGGCTCATTGCTGTCCCCAGCCTGAGACAGAGGAAGAGAAGGGGACCTTTTGCTTTCTGTGGAATCCTCAGCCTTGCTCTGGGTCCATGGGAACGGGTGTGAACACTGCTGTGATGGATTGTCCCTGCTGTCCCTTCCAGAGGGACAGTTGGAGTGTCCCAGCTCCTCCTGGAAATGCTCACAGGAAAAAGATCTGGTTGAAAAGCTCCCTGTGGCTGAACTTTATCCCCTTTATCCCATTGGCAGAGCGAGAACCCCACATCCCCACTGTTGAGCAGAAATCCCTCGTTCCTGTGTCCAAGCAGGAATCCCAGATCCCCATAGCATAATCCTACCTTCCCATAGTCAAGTGGGAAGCCCATGTCCTTGTGGCTGAGAAAGAGCCCTGTGTTTCCATAGCTGAGTGGGAATCTCACATCCACAAAGCTGAGAGAGGCCCCCACATTCCTGTGAGTAAGCGGAATCCCCATATCCCCATGGCACAGCAGGAACCCAGTGTCCTGTGGCTGAGCAGGAGTTCCCCGTTCCCCGTGTCTGGGCAGGTATCCCACACCCCCATGTCCCCATGACCAAACAGCTTGTGGCTTGTTGACCCTGTGGCCAAGTGGGTACCCCACATTTCCATGGCTGAGATGTAACCCCACATCACTATGGCAGAGCAGAAATCTATGTTGGATCAGCACCAAGCTGCTGGAATGACTTTGGAGGCTTCACCCTACGCTCTGCCCCAAGAAAGGAAAATTCAGGATGGCAGTGGGACCCCCCACTCAGCACTGTTCCGTCTCTAGGCTCCCTGAACCATGCAGCCAGCAAAAAACTGGATCTGGAGGCTTGGTTCCCTGGCTCTGGCGCCTTCCGTGAGCTTGTCTCCTGTTCCAACTGCACTGACTACCAGGCCCGGCGCCTGCGCATCCGCTATGGCCAGACAAAGAAGATGATGGACAAGGTGAGGCTAGTGGGCATAGGGGAGTTCTTCCTCTGTTCCTTTGCTTTCCCCATGTCACAGGTGTCCCCTATGTCCCCCTGCCACAGGTAGAGTTTGTGCACATGCTGAATGCCACCATGTGTGCTACCACCCGCACCATCTGTGCCATCCTGGAGAACCACCAGACTCCTGAGGGCATCCGCATCCCTGAAAAGCTCCAAAACTTCATGCCTCCAGGTAACATCCCCCTGTGCCTTCCCCATCCCCTGCTTCTTGGCGGGGGGGGGGGGGTGACAGTGGTCCCTTGTCCCCCCCAGACCTGCGGGAGCTGATTCCATTCATCAAGCCGGCACCCATTGAGCAGGAGCTCTCCAAGAAGCAAAAGAAGCAGCAGGAAGGAGGGGGCAAGAAGAAGGCAGGGGGGGGACGCGACCAGGTGCTGGAGGATCAGATGAAGAACATGGAGGTCTGAGGGTGTCCCCCTGCACCCCAAGGACTTTGAGGGCCTCCCAAGTCATCTCACCTTCATTGCCAGGCTGTGCCCTTCATCATCATCTTTGCTTGGAGGGGAGTCACCGTCTGTCCCCCCTGTTCCACAAAGAACTGACACTGTTAGGGCGCTGCCCCTCTCCCTTGTGTGTCCCCCTTACCCTGCTGAGTCGGGCTGCGATCCCCCATGTGTCCCCCTCACTCTGAGTGGTGCTGGGGACCCCCGTGCCCACATAACATGACCCTCCTCCGTCCAAAATAAAGCCAAGAGCTGCTGAGCTGTGTGTTCTTGGAGGCTTCCGAGGAAAGAATGGGGGGGGGTCCAGCCCGGGGAGGTGTATCCGTTGCACACCACCCTTCCCCTCCCCCCGCACCTCCCTCCTCCTCGTTCTCCCTCCCTCCTGCCAGCCCCACACAAAGCTCCAGACAAAGCCCCTTTGTGATGCTAAGTGGGGCCGAGGGCCCCTAGCCTCAGCCTCAGCTGCTGCTCGCCCCCCGCTCCGGGGTGGGGTGATGCACGGGAGGGTTGCCCCCTTTGCCCCGTTCCATCGCCATGCAGGGAGGCCTGGCTGCCGCCCGCTGCTCTGCGTGGGAAACCCCCGGCAGGCCTCGGCTGTCGGGTGGAACCGGCGGGGAGCGGCCCAGTGAATCACCGGAGCCCCCGGCGGAGGCGCGGGGGTTCCGGCGCTCCAAGCGCCTCCCCGGCGCTGGGGGGCCCCTCCCTGGTACCCGTCGGACCCGTTCCGCCGGGGGGGGGACGCGGCTCCGCGCCGCCTGCCTGCACCCACGCGACCGGCGCCGGATTGGGCGGCGGGGGGGGAGCAGCAACCACAGACCGCGCGGATCCGCCCCCGTCTAGCTTCTCCAGTCTCTCTCCGTCTGTTCCAGCGTCCCCGACATCCCCAGTCTCTCCCAGTTTGTCCCAGTGCCCCCCAGCATCTCCAGTCCTCCTCAGCCTGGTTCAGTCGCTCCCAGTCTGTTCTATTGCCCCCGGTCTTGGTGCGGTGGGACGAGGGATCTGGGGGTGGGGGGAATGTGCCACGGAGTGAGGGGAGATGGACGTTCGTGTGTGGAGTCACGGCCGGCAGTGGGGACAAGGGGGCCTTGGGGGACGTATGTCACACGTGCTGTATGTGCCACACATGTGCTGGGCGTTTACGCACATGATCTCTGTGCTGTGTGACACACGTGCTCTCTGTCTCACATGTGTATGCTCCCTGTGTGTTTCACATGTGCTGTGTGTGTCACATACATGGTTCCCATGTCATATGTGATCGCTGATGCCTGTGTGCCCTCCGTGTGCAACACGCATGCCTGCAATGCACAGGTGCGTGCAAGGCCCTCCACATCTGTGTATGTACGTGTGTGCGCGCAGGGCGCACGTGTGCACCTCACACGAGCGTGCACAACCTGCGCACCTCGTGTGTGCGCAACCTGCGCGTAGTGCGCGCTCGCTGCCCCCGCGCTGACGGTGCCGCTGCGGCTGCGGGTGCCGCCGGCGAGTGCCGGGGGCGGCAGCGGCGGCTCCTTTAAGAGCGGCCGGGCCGGTGAATTGGCGGCTCCGCCCCTGCGGGCGCGCGCGGGCCAGGGCGGGGCGCAGGCGGCGGAGCGGGTCGCTGCGGGCACCGGCATCGGCACCGGGGGCACCGGGGGGCAGCGGCCATGGGCCCTCCGTCCACCCGCCGGGCCACACTCCGGTTGCTGCCGCTGTTGCTGCTGCTGCCGCTGCTCGCACCGGAACCCGCCATCGCCACCGGCATCGGCGTCGGCACCGGCACCCGCACCCGTCCGTCCAGCACGCTAACGACGCCACTCCAGCTCCGCGACGGCACCGGGGACAGCGGCGGCGCATGGCCCCCGCCAAGCACCGGGGACAGCGGCGACAGCTCTGGGCCCGCACCGGCTGCGGGCGGCAGCGATGGGACTGCACCAGGCACTGGTTCCAGCGGCGGTGCGTGGACCCCGCCGAGCACCGGGGACATCGGCGACAGCGCTGGACCCGCACCGGACGCGACCGGCAGCGATGGAATGGCGCCAGGCACCGGCTCTTCCAGTGGGGACAGCGGCGGTGGCATTAGGAGGTCCCCAGGTATCGGTGGTTCCAGGATTACCGGGGACGCTGGAGGCACCGTGAATGCTGGAGACACCTGGAAGCCTGGAGGCACTGGGGGCGTTGGAAGCACCAAGGACGCTGGAGGCACCCGAGATAGTGGAGGCACCGGGGTTACTGGAGGAACTGGAGACACTGGAAGCACCCATGTCCTCAGGGGCACCAGGAGTGGTGGGAATACTGGACACACTGGGGACACCAGCATCCCCACGGAGGACTCTGGGAGCACTGGGAACATGCTGAGCACTGGGGGTGTTTGGGGCACTGGGAGCACTCCAGTCCCCAGGGGCATCAGGAATTCTGTACTCACTGGGGAGACTGGGAGGTTCTCCAGAGCTGCTGGCAAGACTAGGAAAGTCCCCAGGGATACTGGGAACATCAGAGATACTGAACATAATGGGGAGACTGGGAAGGTCCCTAGCAATGTCAAGAACACTGTGGACACTGGACATGCTGGGAACACCAATATCCCCAGGGAGACCAGTGGCACTGGGGATGCGATAGACACTGGGGATGTTGTGGAGCTCCAGACCACAGCAGTCCCCAGGCCCCCCATACCTCACCACCGTCCCTGCCGCAGCCCCAACACAGCACCACAGTTCCAGCCCTCCAGCTACCAGGCCACAGTGGAGGAGAACCGGCCAGCAGGCACTCCAGTGACACAGGTGACAGCACAGGACCCTGATGAGGGGGATGCAGGCCGGCTGCACTACTCTATGGCTGCGCTCTTTGACAGCCGCTCCGATGACCTCTTCACCGTGGACCCTGTCACTGGTGCCATCAGCACCGCTGCACTGCTGGACCGTGAGAGCAAGAGCACTCATGTGTTCCGTGTGACAGCAGTGGACCACGGGACACCCCGGCGCAGTGCCATGGCCACACTGACAGTGACAGTGAGCGACACCAATGACCACGACCCGGCCTTTGAGCAACCAGAATACCGGGAGAGTGTGCGAGAGAATCTGGAGGTGGGCTATGAGGTATTGACAGTGCGGGCCACCGATGGTGACGCTGGTCCCAATGCCAACGTCCTCTACCGCCTCCTCAATGCCGGTGATGCCAATGAGGTCTTTGAGATCGATTCCCGCTCAGGCGTCATCCGCACCCGTGGCCCTGTGGACCGGGAAGTAGTGGATGCCTTTGAGCTGTTGGTGGAGGCCACAGACCAGGGCCAGGATCCAGGTCCCCGGAGTGCCACAGCCACTGTCCGCATCGCTGTGGAGGACGACAATGACAATGCGCCGCAGTTCAGCGAGCGACGTTACGTGGCACAGGTCCCTGAGGATGTGGTGCCCAATGTGGCAATTTTGCAGGTGATGGCCACCGACCGTGACAAAGGCAGCAATGCACTGGTGCACTACAGCATTGTCAGCGGCAACACTCGTGGGCACTTCTACATTGATGCACAGACAGGCACGCTGGATGTCGTTACCCCTCTGGACTACGAGGTCACCAAGGAGTTCACCCTGAGGATCCGGGCGCAGGACGGTGGCCGCCCACCTCTCTCCAACATCAGCGGTTTGGTTACCATCCAGGTGTTGGATGTCAATGACAATGCACCCATCTTTGTCAGCACACCCTTCCAGGCCACTGTGCTGGAGAATGTCCCTGTGGGCTACTCCGTCATCCATGTACAAGCCATTGATGCCGATTCAGGTGACAACAGCCGGTTAGTTTACACCCTGCTGAAGACTGGCACCAGTTTCCCCTTTACCATCAACAACAGCACCGGGTGGATTGTGGTGGCCTCTGAGCTGGATCGGGAGGTAGTTGACTTCTACAGTTTTGGGGTGGAGGCGCAGGACCATGGCACCCCCCCAATGGCCTCCACAGCCAGCGTCAGTGTCACCATCCTGGATGTCAATGACAACAGCCCTGAGTTCACCCAGCGGGAGTATGGCGCCCGCCTGAACGAGGATGCGGCAGTGGGCACCAGTGTCCTGACTGTCTCTGCTGTCGATCGTGACGCTTACAGCGTCATCACATACCAGATCTCCAGCGGCAACACCCGCAACCGGTTCTCCATCACCAGCCAGAGCGGTGGTGGGCTCATCTCCCTTGCCCTGCCCCTGGACTACAAGCTGGAGCGGCAGTACCTGCTCACCATTGCTGCCTCTGATGGCACCCGCCAGGACACTGCCCAGGTGGTTGTCAATGTCACTGATGCCAACACCCACCGCCCTGTCTTCCAGAGCTCCCACTACACCATCAACATCAATGAGGATCGGCCAGTGGGCACAACAGTGGTGGTCATCAGTGCCACAGACGAGGACACGGGGGAGAACGCCCGCATCACCTACCTGATGGAGGACAGCATACCCCAGTTCAGTATTGCTGCTGATACTGGTGCTGTGACCACCCAGATGGAGCTGGACTATGAGGACCAGGTGTCCTACACCTTGGCCATCACGGCGCGGGACAATGGTATTCCGCAGAAATCTGACACAACTTACCTGGAGATCCTGGTGAGTGATGTCAATGACAACGCACCCCAGTTCCTCCGTCATTCCTACCAGGGATCCATCTATGAGGATGTCCCCACCTTCACCAGCGTCCTCCAGGTCTCTGCAACTGACCGTGACTCTGGGCTCAATGGCAGGGTCTTCTACACCTTCCAAGGGGGTGATGATGGTGATGGTGACTTCATCATTGAGTCTACCTCAGGCATTGTCCGCACCTTGCGCCGTCTGGACCGGGAGAATGTGCCGCTGTATTCCCTGCAGGCATTTGCTGTGGATAAGGGGGTCCCAGCCCGGCGGACGCCAGTAGAGATCCAGGTGACAGTGTTGGATGTCAATGACAACCCGCCTGTGTTCGAGCAGGACGAGTTTGACATCTTTGTGGAGGAGAACAGCCCCATTGGGCTGGTGGTGGCCCGGATCACTGCCACCGACCCTGACGAGGGCACCAATGCCCAGATCATGTACCAGATCGTTGAGGGCAACATCCCTGAGGTCTTCCAACTGGATATCTTCTCTGGAGAGCTCACCGCCCTGGCTGACCTGGACTATGAAACCAAGGCTGAATACATCATGGTGGTCCAGGCAACCTCGGCACCACTAGTGAGTCGGGCCACCATCCATGTGCGCCTGCGTGACACCAACGACAACAGCCCCCAGCTCAAGAACTTCGAGATCCTCTTCAACAACTACATCACCAACCGCTCTGGCAGCTTCCCTGGGGGTGTCATTGGCCGCATCCCTGCCTATGACCCTGATGTCTCTGACCACCTCACTTATGCTTTTGAACAGGGCAATGAGCTCAACCTCGTGCTGCTGGACCCACACAGTGGGGACCTGCGCCTCAGCCCGGCCCTGGACAACAACCGCCCACTTGAGGCCATCATGAGGGTGTCTGTCTCTGGTAAGACCCCCACCCATAGAGGCACCTTGCAGGGGGAGTGAAATTTGTGGGTATATCAACCTCTATTTCTGCATGGAGGCAAGGTGTTATGGGGTCTCACTACCCTGTTTTGGCTGCCCCCACCCTCCAGATCAGAAGGGATGATGCGTTGTGGGGTCCCATGACCCCACTGAGGTGTTTTGGAGTTCCGCCACCCCGTCCTGGTTGCCTCCACCCTCCAAATATATGGGAAGGGGGAATAATGGGATGCTGTGCCCCCCTCACACCCCAGACATCCAAGCTGGAGGCTATCGGGGTCCCTAGCACCCCCTTTGCTTTCCCCACCCCCTTGGGCTGTCGTGCTGTCCAGAGGTGGTCCTGGCACTTCTCTGTCTGTCACTGAGCAGGGTGGGGCAGGACCCAGTGCATGTATTGGGGGAGCAGAGGCTGGTGTGGGCCAGCAGGGTCCTGGTACCCTTGGGGGCTTGTTATGAGAGTGTGATGGGTGAATCTGGGAAGGCTCAGGGTGCAGTGCAATATTGGGGGAGTCCTGGCACTGCCATGCTTGTGTTTCCAGGAGACTCCACTTGAATGAATTCAGTGCAGGAGACACAAGGCCTGGTGTGTGTATTCGGGGGGACAACCTGGCCTCCACTGAGAGGTCCCCAAACCCAGTGTGGGGGGGGATCATCACAAGATAAGGGAGGTTGTGCCATCAATTGTCATCACCATTTGGGTGGTGGGGTGTCCAGGAGGTGTTTCTGGGGGATGGGAGTCACCCCAAGGTGGATGAACACTTCCTTAGTCACCCCCAGGTCAAGGGGAAACTGGGTCACAGGCCATGCCTGATGTCCATTGTCCTCAGCCACATGGCCCCCATCACCCCACAGCTTCCCCTGGCAGGGGTCCCTGCTCTGGCCACAAAAAGCAGGGGGCCCAGGGCACAAAGGGTGGGGGCAGGGAGTCCCCCGTGTCCCCCCGCAAGCGCAGGGGCAGGCGGGAGGGAAACAAAAGGTCCAGCCATAGCTGGGCCCTCGCGGCCGCAGCCATGGTAACCTTCCCCCTCCCGCCAGCCACTGGCTACCAGTCACTGGCCATGGGCCACTGGGCAGCCCTGGCCCATGCCATCCCCTGCAGCACTTCCTTCTGCCTGCTTGGCCCCCCACCTGTCCCCATGTTCCCTTCATCCATCTGTCTGCCTGCTCCCCATCTGTCCTGCATCCCACTGCCCTCAGCCAGGGGGAGGGCAAAGAAGAGGAGACAGGTGGGTGCCCCAGTGCTTAGCAGAGATTTTGCTGCCCCAGCCCCACAACCAGCACCAGCTCCACAACCAACACCAACCCCACAATCAGCACCAGCCCCTTAACCAGCACCATCCCCATACCAGCTCCAGCCTCAGAAACAGCTCCAACCCCAGAAACCAGCACCAACCCCATAACCAGTGCTGACTCCATAACCAGCCTCCGCCTCATAGACAGAACCAGCCCCATAACCAGTCCCAACCCCATAACCAACCACCAACCCCATTTACATGCCCCACCCCACAGTGTCCAGGCAGGATGGGCACCCCATGACCCACACTGTCCCCATTCCATGGTTGCCAAGTGGAATGGGCACCCACCACCAGCACCAGCCCCATAACCAGCGCTGTCCCCATTCAATAGTGGCCAGGTGGGATAGGAGCCTTGTAACCAGTTCCAGCCCTATTGCCATCACCATCCCCATCCTGCTGTCCCTACCCTGGGTAGGTGGTATGGGCACTCCAAAAACAGTACCAGCCCCATAACTAGCACCAACCCTATAACCATCACCGTCTCCATGCCTTGGTGGCTGAGTAGGAAAGGTCCCCCATAGCCTGCACTGTCCCCACCTGATGGTATCCATTCCATGCTGGTCAAGCAGGATGGGCACCTCATAGCCAGTATTGTCCCCATTCCACAGTGGCTACATGGGCCAGGTGTTTCATGGCCAGTGCTGTCCCCATTCTATGGTGGTCAAGCGGGTCAAGCCCCATAGCACCGTCTCCGTCCAACAGCAGCTGATTTGCTTGGTTGCCCCATAACTGGCACAATTCCCAGTGTTGTCCATTGTCCAGAGCACATATCTCGCACCATCCTTTCCCAGAGTTGTCCATTGCTGTCACTGACTACCTCCTGTGTCCCCCCTTTGTCTCCAGATGGCGTTTACAGTGCAACAGCACAGTGCACGCTGCGGGTGACGGTGATCACAGATGAGATGCTCAGCAACAGCATCACCCTGCGTTTGGCCGACATGTCCCAAGAACGCTTCTTGTCTCCGCTACTCAGCCGCTTCCTGGAGGGAGTGGCCGCTGTCCTGGCCACCCCCCGCCACCGCGTCGTCCTCTTCAACATCCAGGCGGACACAGACGTGGGGCCGGCGCGGATCCTCAATGTCAGCCTCTCGGCACTGCTGCCGGCGGCGGTGCCGGGCGCATCGCGGTTCTTCTCGTCGGAGGAGCTGCAGGAGCGGCTGTACCTTAACCGATCGCTCCTGGCAGCTACCACGGCCCAGCGAGTCCTGCCCTTTGATGACAACGTGTGTCTGCGCGAGCCCTGCGAGAACTACATGCGCTGTGTCTCTGTCCTGCAGTTCGACAGCTCCGCGCCCTTCCTCGCCTCCGACACGATCCTTTTTCGCCCCATCCACCCCGTCACGGGCCTGCGCTGCCGCTGCCCGCCTGGCTTCACCGGCGACTACTGCGAGACCGAGATCGACCTCTGCTACTCCAGCCCCTGCGGCAACAACGGGCGGTGCCGGAGTCGTGAGGGTGGATACACTTGCGAGTGCCACGAAGACTTCACTGGTTAGAGTCACTGGCCAGCCCTTCCTCGTGGTGTCCATCCTCATATTTCCTCATCCGGCTCCTCTTCAGCCCTCCTTCCCTCCGTCCCTCTGCCAGTAGACTGATGGCACTGGGGCCATACCCCCTGCGCCCACCCTGGGACTCCAGCCCCCACGGGACCCCTGGTGGGGGGTGCCAGCCAGGTGGGGGAGGGCATATGAGAGGAGGAGGTGTCTTTGGGTTTCCACGGTAATGGGAGATGGTTGCCATGGTAATAGAGCTGGGGATAAAGATACTGGGGGGCAGGGAGGGAGAGGGGATCTCCACCCTCCCATTTAGGGCGCTTGGTGTCACACTGGGGAGCCCTGTGAGTGGCTGGGGGGAGAACTCAGGGGTTACTGGGGGATGGGGAGGAGAGAGGACCCCCGCTCCCCATTTCTGGTGCCATTGGGGTATCACACAGGGGAACCCTGCAAGCTGAGCACCTGAGGGGGGCCACTCTGGGTTTAATAGGGAGGTGTGGGGGGGAAGATGGGACTCCTTATCCCAGGTTTGGGGTTCTGGATGTCACACAGGGGAGCACTGTGAGCTGAGTGCCCGAGGGGGCCGCTGCACCCCAGGGGTCTGCCGGAATGGGGGCACCTGCCTGAACCTGCTGGTGGGGGGATTCCGGTGTCAGTGCCCCCCCGGGCACTATGAGAAACCCTTCTGCACCATGAGCACCCGCAGCTTCCCCCCGCACTCCTTCCTCACCTTTCGTGGCCTCCGCCAGCGCTTCCACTTCACCTTGGGCCTCACGTGAGCCTGGGGGAATCTGGGGAGGTGGGGGGTGATGTCTGCCCCTATGGGTGTCACATGGAGTGTGGGTTAGATGGTGATGTTTGTCCTGTTGGCATGAGATGAGGTGATAGGGTGTGAGGTGATGGGTGTCTTGGGGACACTGCATGGGTGCCCTCATTGGCATAATTCGGGATGTGGGATGGTGGGTGTCACAAGGGCATCAGACAGGGTGGGGATACCTCATTGGCATCATGTGGGATGGGTGGTGATCAGTACTCCGTGTGCATCATGTGGGCTGTGGGGTGATTGTGTGTTGGGTGATGGGCACCCTGAGGGCACAGAGTAGGAGCAAAGGGTGTGGGTGACCCCTTGGCATGGAGGGCAGTGGGATGGGGGACACCTTGTGAGGGCAGGGGCTGATGCGTATGAGCATCTCACAGTGGATACAAGGTCATGGGATAGGGCGTGGGGGTGTGCCTTGGGGCATGGCAGGGTCAGGGGGTGTTGGGGAGTGCCAGGGAGGCACGTGGTTTTGCAGGGTATTGGGGCCTGGCACTGCACTTGTGTCCCCCAGGTTTGCCACGCAGGAGCGGGATGGGCTCTTGCTGTATAATGGGCGCTTCAATGAACGGCATGACTTCGTGGCACTGGAGATTGTGGACGAGCAGCTGCAGCTCACCTTCTCAGCAGGTACATGCTGCCCCTGACGTGCCCTGGCCCTGTACCCTGACACCCTTGTGGGCCCTGTATCCTTCACTGCATCCCTCACTTCATCCCAGAGATCCCATCTTGCACTGCCTGGCACTGCATCCTGGGCATCATATTCCTGGCACTGCATCTCTCATTGCATTCCTCACTGCATTCCTCACTGCATCCCTGGCTTGCCATTCTTTGTGCTGCCCAACACTGCATCCCCAGCATCCCATGCCTGACACTGCATCCCTGGCACTACATCCTGGACATTCCCTTGCTAGCTGCAACCCCTGCATCATGTCCCCAACACTGCATCCCTGGCACTGCATACTGGGCATGCCATTCCTGGCACCATCACCCCTCCTTGCCTCTGGCTGTGTTGCCCTGACGCTGTGCCCACAGGTGAGACCACCACCACGGTGTCACCCTTCGTGCCAGGAGGAGTCAGCGATGGGCAGTGGCACCGGGTGCAGCTGCACTACTACAACAAGGTGGGGGAAGGGGGTCATGGGGGGCACAGTTGGGGGGGAGTGTTTGGGGCAGACAGAGGAAAGGAAGATGGAGGGGAAGGGTGGGGGAATGGAGAGATGGGGTGGGTCAGGTAGGGGATTTGTGGCACCTAAAGGACCCCTAAGGGATGTGCCCACCCATGGGGGTCCTAAGGGATGGAGATGGGAGACGGAGGAAGAGAAAGGAGTGGAGGGCAAGAGGGTGTTGGAGGGATGAGAATAGAGAGGAAATTTGGGGAACTCCAAGGGACTGTCAAGAGATGCCCCCATCCATGAGGATCCCAAGGGATCACCCACTTCCTCACCCATTGGTCCCCTGAAGAATCCCATGTACTTTCCTCACCTGTAGGGACCCCTGAGGAATTGGAATGGGGGGATGGAGGAAGAGGAGGTCAAAGGGATGGAGGCTTGGGGGGGATGAAGGGGACCATTGAGGGGTTTAAGGGGGGCTGAAGGGATGAAGGGGAGTGTTGGGGGGTCTGAAGGGTGGGGGGCTGGTGGGCTGGAGGGACATGGGAGTGCAGTAAGGGTTGAGGGGTCAGAGGGCAGTGGGAGAATGAGGAGCAGGACAGAGGCTGCAGGATGGGGGTCCTGGGCCCTCCTGCCTAATACGGGGCCCCCCAGCCGGTTGTGGGGCGCTCAGGGGTCCCACAGGGCCCCTCAGAGCAGAAGGTGGCTGTGGTGACTGTGGACGACTGTGACACAGCCATGGCCCTGCGCTTCGGGCCCCGCCTTGGCAACTACTCCTGCGCTGCCCAGGGCACCCAGACTGGCAGCAAGAAGTGAGAGGGGCCTGGGGATCCCATGGGTGGGGTCCCTTGGGGTACCCATAGAGGGGTCCCTTGTAGGTGAATGGTCCCTAAGGGTGTGCTACCTTTGAAGTCTTCACTGGTGAAAGGTCCCTTGGGGGTGACAGATCCCTATGGATGGGGGAGTCACTGGAGGTCCCCATGGGTTTGGGGGGTTCTCTTGGGGTCCCCATGGCACTGGGGAGAAGTGGGGACTCCCTTGGGAGTCTGTTGAGTTTCCCATGGGGGAACACCCTTCGGGTTGTCCCTCAGGTCCCCATAGGTTTTGGGGTGAGTGGGTGTTCTTTGGGGTCCCCTTGTGACTCCCATGGGATGGGGGATGGCTGGGTGTCCCTTGAGGTTCCATCAGGGTCCCCATGGGTTGTGGGTCCTTCGGGAGTTTCTTGAGTCCCTGAGGTGATGGTGTGCTCTGCAGGTCGCTGGACCTGACGGGGCCACTGCTGCTGGGGGGGGTCCCAACACTGCCCGAGAGTTTCCCAATCCGCAGCCGGCACTTTGTGGGGTGCATGCGGCACCTCCACGTTGACCAGCGCCCCGTGGACATGGCAGCCTTCATTGCTAACAATGGCACCCTGCCCGGTGGGCTCCGGGATCAGGACGCTGGCGAGGGGCTGGGGAGGGGCTGTGCTGCTTCCAGCAGGGGCAGATGGGGTGGGGGGTTAAGGGGTACCTGAGAAGTGTGGCTGTGTCCCCTGAATGATGGGAGGGGGTTCCAGAGCTGGAGGGATGGATGAGGGTCCAGGGGTGTGGGGGATGCTGTGCTCCCTGGGTGTTGGATGGGAGTGAAGGGAGTGCAGGTGTGGGTTGAGGGGTACCAGGACAACGGTGCTGTGCCCCCTGGGTGTGGGGAGGAGGTGCCAGAGTAATGGGGCTGGATGGGGGTCCACGGGACACAGAGCAGAGCTGTAGGGAGGGCGTGAGGGGATGCCAGGGCCACGGGGCTAAAGAGAGGTCCAGGGAACGGGCTGGGACTCCCCAGGGTGTGGGATGGGAAATCAGGGGGTGCAGGTTTGAGTTCAGGGTTGCCAGGGCCACAGGGTGGGGGGTATAGAGTAGGGGTTGGTGGGGCTTGAGGGCTGGCTGGGGGCCCAGGTCTGGGCAGTGCTTGGGCATCTCTATGTCCCGTGGGTGTGGGGAGGGGGTGCCAGGCTCATGGGGCTGGATGGGGGTCCAGGGACACAGTGGTAGAGCATTCTGTGTCTCCTGGTTTTGGGGTGGGGGGTGAGGGGCTGCCAAGGCCATCAAGCTGGAGTGGGTGGCACAGACAAGGCTGTGTCCCCTGGGGGTGGAGTGAGGAGGTGCCAGGACTGGGGAGCTGGATGGGGCGGTATCCCCTTAGGGGTTGGGGATGTGGGGTGGGAGCTCAGGGGGTACTAGGACTATGGGGTTGGATGAGGGTTCAAGGACGTGGGGATGTCTGTGCCCCATGGGACTGGCGGTCCCAAGTCATGTGTGGCATGTGACCCCTGTGCCCCCTCACAGGTTGTCCTCCCAAGAAGACCCTGTGTGACACCAACACATGCCACAACGGTGGCACCTGCGTGCATGAATGGGGGGGGTTCAGCTGCCGCTGCCCACTGGGCTTTGGGGGAAAAACCTGCCAGGAGGGTACTGGGGGGCCTGGGGGGACATTGTGGTGGGGTTGTGTGGCATCCATAGGCTTGTTTTGGGGCCATGGGGGGCATGGGGAGGGTCTCTGGGTGGGTGTGAGGGGTGTGGGAAGGGGGTGAGGGGCATTCCTGCTTGTGTTTGGGGGTCCATGGGGTTGTTTTGGGCTCATGCGAGGGTATGGGGGATCTGTGGGTGGGTGCAGGAGATCTGTGGGAGGAAGTGTTGGCATCTGGGAGATGTGCATGGGGTCCGCATGTGGGTGCTGGGGATCTGAGATTGGGTATGTGAGAGGCCACATGGGGTTGTGGGGGGTCCTGGGTGGGGTGCGGGGAGTCCATGGGTGGGTGTGGGTGGTCTGTGGTGCATGGCCATGTCATGGCACGGGCGTCCCTGGGGTGGGCTTGTGGGGGGTCATGGAGTTGCCCCCTGTCCCATGTGCATGCCCCGCAGAAATGGTGGGCCCGCAGCGGTTCATGGGCAGCAGCCGCGTGGCGTGGAATGGGCTGGCACTGCCCCTCTCCCTGCCCTGGCCAGTCCGCATCATGTTCCGCACCCGGCACCCCCGCGGGGTTCTGCTGCGGGCGGGGGCCGGAGGTCGCCTGACCCTCATCCTTCAGGTGGGCACGGGGGAGGCATGGGGAAGGCACGGGGAGGCGAATAGGGGAGTTTTCCTGAGGAAGGGGCTGGGGAGGAGAGGTGGTTGCCATGGGGGTGTTATTGATTTGAGTGAGGATCATTGCCACGGGAGGTATTGGTTTTGGTGTCATTGGCATGGGGGAGGTCATAGCTTTGGAGGGAGGTTGTTGCCCTGGGAGGGTATTGACTTGAGCAGGAGTATAGGGGGGTCGGCACTGGGGCAGTGCCAGGGGTTATTGCTCTGAGGACGGAGGTGTTATTGGCATTGGGGAGTTGTTGGCACAGGGTTTATTACCCTGGGGGGGTCATTGGAATAGGAGGTGTTGCTGGGGGGTTATATATGGCCACGGGGAGGTAGTGGCATAGGAAGTTGGAATAGGGGAGTTACCCTGCGCCAGGGTAACTCCCCTATTCTATTGCCCTGGGGGGGTCTGTTGGCATTGGCGGTATTGCTGTGGGGGGGGAACAGTGCAAGGGGGTGCCACTCCTTGAGGGGGCATTACCTGAGGGGTTGTCTTACTGTCCCAGGGGAAATCGTATTTCCCAGTGGGCAGTGCCTGGTGCCCATCAGGTTTTTGGGGTCCTTGACATGTCTACCCCCACAGCTGAGCGAGGGGCAGGTGGAGGCTGGTGCCTGGCAAGGGGGGGCCCGTTTGGCCACCCTGCGTCTGCCCCAGGCCAAAGTCAATGATGGTGCCTGGCACCACGTGGAGCTGGAGCTGCGGGGGGGCCCTGGCCACAGCCCCTCTGCCACCCTCCTCCTTCTCACCCTCGACTATGGCCGCCACCAGGTATGGGGAGACTGAGGCACAGGGGGCATCCACTCTGATGATCCCCGTGTGCCACCATGGCACCCCCTGTGGCACCCCAAGGCACCCACGGGGGTCCCTGTGCCCCCCAGGCGCTGGGCGATGTCCCTGGAGAGCTGCAGGGATTGCGGCTGCGCACACTGAGCCTCGGGGGGCTGCTGGGGGACAGTGGCACCGTGGAGGAGGGGTTCCAGGGGTGTCTGCAGGTATGGAGGTGCGGGCACCGAGGGTGTGGGGAGCATGGGGTGGAGGGTGTAGGGGAAGGAGGGTGGGCTTGGGGATGTGGAAGAGGAGATAAGGACATGGTCACAATGGGAGGGCGGCACAGGGACATGAACACAGGGACATAGCATAGGGCTTGGGGGAATGGGCACAGGGATGTGCGCACAGATGCTGGTGATGTGGCACAGGGTGAGGACAGGGCACAATGAAGCAGGGCCTTACCTTGGGGATGAGGACAAGGGTATGATGAAGAGGGGCACAGGGACATGGGTACAGTGCTTGGGGACCTGGCACTGGCTTGGGGACATGGGATTTGGGAACATGACAGAGAGAAGTGGGGGCATGGCAGGATAGTACGGGGCACAGGGATGTGCACCAGGACAGGGGGACATGGGGACTTCCCCCAATAGCCCAGAATGGGTGGGAGGCACAGGGACGTGTCACAGGATTTGGGGACGTGGAGTGGGGCATAGCACAGGACATGGGGACATGGGCAGGATGGAGAAGGGCGTAGGGATGTGGGTACAGGGAGATGACGCAGGACAAGGAGACATCGGCTGTGTGGGCAGGACATTGGGGATGCACTGCATAGTGACATGGGGCCTGGGCAGGATGGGGACATGGCTGTGGGGACACGGGTGTGACTGGGGAGGTCATGGGTTGTACAGGGGGTACCAGCTGGTGTTGGGGCCACTGAAGCACCCAGAGGTGACGTGACTGGAGAGGGGGTCTGGAGTGACATAGTGGGTCCTGGTGTGGGGTTCAGGGTGTCATGTCTTGTGGGGACAGACTGAACAGGGTGACACAAAAGGGTGACACAAAAGGTCCTGGGTGGTAGTGAGGGACATTGAGAGTGGGCATGGCACTAGGGCAGGAGGGGTCATGGTGGCTGGGGCATCACTGGGGTCACTGTCAGGTGACCCCACACAAGGAAGTTGGGTTGGGGTGAAGGGGTGTCCCAGGTCACTGAGAGGTCACTGCAGGTAACACGAGGGTGTCACCAGGTGGCGCTGAGGTACGATGACAGGTGACATGACGCAGGGGCTTTAGGGTGGCACAGTGGGTCCAGTGTCATGGTGGGGGAAACTGAGGAGGGGGTGACACTGCAGGGTGGTCCAGGTTGTCCTGGGGTGTCCTGTGTTGTGGCAGGGGACACTAAGGTAGAGATGGCAGTGGGGCAGTGGATTTTAGGGTGACATGGTGGGTCCTGTGTGGTGGTGAGATCACACTGATGGTGACACTGTGTAGGGAATTCTCATGGTGTCGCTGGGGAATGGTGAGGGAAACTGAGGCATGGAGTGGATTGTGTTGGGGGGTCCAGGGTGGCTCAGGGGTCTTAGTGAAGACATTGATGAGTGACCGTGCAGGGCCTGCGTGTTGGGGACCCTGTGGTGACTGCGGATGCCCTGAGCCTGGCACAGGCGGCGCAGGTGAATGTGGAGGGGGGCTGTGCCCTGCCCGATCCCTGCGACTCGGGGCCCTGCCCCCCCCACAGCTACTGCAGTGACGACTGGGACAGTTTCTCATGCCGCTGCCACCCCGGTGAGCAGGGATCCCCCAGACCCCTGAAACCCCTTCAACACACCCCAGACTTCCCCCAATAGCCCTGGAACTAACACCCATGTAACAACCCCCTCTGCCACCCCAGTGAATGGGGACACCCTGAGACCTCTGAGACCCCCCCAGCAGCCTCCCAACACTCCCTGACACTCTCCTGACACAGACTGACACCACCAGGATGCTGACACCCCTGTGACACTCCTCATTTCTACACCTTTGAATGGAGACACCCTGACATCCCCTGATACCCCGTGGGACACTGACACCACTGAGACACCCCTGTGACACCCCATACTGCTACCCTCGTGACCAGAGACCTCCTGGAACCTCCGACAAATCCCAACACCCCCTGAGACACTGTCACCCCTCTGACACCCCCACTGCCACCCGCATGAGTGGAAACCCCCCCAGCACCTCCTGACAACCCTGAGACACTGCCATCCCCAGCACTGCCACCCTGTGACATGCCCCAACAACACCACCCTTTCTGGGCACCACCCCTCCACCCCTGTCCCCAAGGCACTGCCACCCTCCCTTCTCACTGCCACTCCTTATCACTGTCACCCCTGGGCACTGCCCCTCACCTCCATCCCTGTCCCCTGTCAGTGTCCCCCGTTGTTGTCTCCAATCCTGTCCTGTGCCCAGGGTACTTTGGTGACAGCTGTGTCAGTGCTTGTGCCCTGGACCCCTGCGAGCCTCCAGGCACCTGTACTCGCCATCCAGGCACGGCCCCCGGCTATGCTTGTCACTGTCCCCCAGGCACCTTTGGGGCCCTCTGCCAGCACCGGTTGGTGACACTGTGGGGCACACACGTGTTCTGGGGGGGGCATGGAGCACCTGGGGGAGCGGGGCCACAGTGAGGGCCATCGGGGGCAGGGTGTGGGGTGAGAGGAGGGTGGGCATATGGGGCAGGGTGGGTGTGCAAAGGGCATAGTGCATGTGCGAGAGCTGTGGGAGGTGTGCAAAAGGCAGGGGGAGCATGGAAAGTGCAATGGCTGTGCAAGAGCTGTGGTGAGTATGCAGGGGTCACTGTGGATGAAAAGTGGTACTGTGGGTGTAGAAGTGGCACAGTAGGGGTGCAAGGAGCACTGTGGGGGTACAGGTGGCACTGTGAGGGTACAAGTGGCCATGTGGGTATGCAAGGGACAGTGAGGGTGTACAAGGAGCCATGTGAGTTTACAAGTGGCATTGTGGGAGTACTCTGGCATGGTGCTTGAGTGCCAGCTCCATTGTCCCCAGGGAGGCGCAGCCATGCCCACGGGGGTGGTGGGGACACCCCACGTGCGGCCCCTGCAGCTGTGACGTCGCCCATGGCTTTGACCCAGACTGCAACAAGACCACGGGCGAGTGTCGCTGCAAGGTGGGACCTGCCAGCCCTTGTCACCTCCCCTGCCAATCCCTGCCATCCTCCTGTCACCTCTCTGTTTCTCCCTGCCACCCCACTGTCACCCTGTCACCTCCCTGTCATGCCCTCTCATGCCCCCGACAACCTCCGTGTCAGCCCCCTGTCACCCCATCCCCGTGCCTGCAGTGACCCTGTGTCTCCCCAGGACAACCACTACCGCCCACCAGGAGGGGACACGTGCCACCCCTGTGAGTGTTACCCCACTGGGTCACTGTCGCGCCGCTGTGATGCCAACACTGGACAGTGCCCCTGCAAAGCTGGTGTCATCGGCCGTCACTGTGACCGCTGTGACAATCCCTTTGCTGAGGTGACAGCCAGCGGCTGTGAAGGTAAGGGACTGTCAACTTGTGTCACCCTGTGTCACCCTGAGTGCCCACTGTCACCCTGCTGTAACCCTCCATTACTCTCTGTGACCTTGTGCCACCTTGTGTCATCCTGTGTCACTCTGAGTGCTAGTGACCAGGTATTACTGTCACTCTGCTGTCACCCTACTGACCCCATTGTCATCTTGTGTCATCCCACTGTCACTGTGTCACACTGGTGTCACCCTGCTGTCATCCTGTGTCACCCTACACCACCCTATGCCATCCTGATGTTCACCTGCTCTGCCACAGCTGTCATCCTGGGTGCCAGAGAGTGCCATTGTCACCCTGTATCGCCCTGTGTCACCCTACTCTGCCCTGTTACAACCCTGTGTCACCCTGTGTTACTCCAAGTGCCAGTGACTGGATGCTACTGTCACCCTGCTGTCACCCTGTGCTACCCTGCATCACCGCCTGGTTGCTTTGTGTCACCTGCTGTCACCCTGGCTGCTGGCAAATGAGTTCCACCAACACCCTGGTTGTTGGTGCAATCCCATTGACACCTTGTGTCACCCCACTGTCACCCTGTGTCACACTGCTGTCACTTTGCTATCACCCTGTGCCACTATGTCACCCTACTTTTACCCTTTGTTATCCTTTTGTCATTCTGCTCTGCCACTGCTGTCACCATGCTGTTAGCCTGTGTCACACTGTGTTACCCTGGGTTCCAGTGACCAGGTGCCACTGCTGCCCTACTGTCACCCTGTGTCCCCCATTTTGATGCCCTGTTGTGTCTTGCAGTGAACTATGACAGCTGTCCCCGGGCCATCGAGGCCAACATCTGGTGGCCCCGCACTCGGTTTGGGCTGCCAGCTGCAGCCCCGTGCCCCAAGGGCTCTGTCGGTACGTGGGAACGTGGGGACAGGACGGGGGTGGCACTGGGCACACTGCCAGAATGCGGCTGGGGGTGACACAGTGGTGACATCACTGGGATGGGGCTTAGAGGGGTGGCATTGCTTGGGTGGTACAGGGAGGTGACACTGTGATTGCACTGCTGAGACATGGTGGGGAAAGAGGACACCATGGTGTCACTTCAGGGTGGTGATATGGTGGTGGCACTGCTATGGGATGTTGACACCAGTGGGACAAGGCTGGGGTGTATCTTGGTGGTAGCACCAGTTGGATGGAGCTAGGGTGGGGTGGCGCCATGGGGCATCACTGGGACAGGGCAGGGGGGTGATGCTGTAGTGGTGTTATTGGGTTGGTACCGGGAGGTGACACTGGGGTGGCACTGCTAGGATGGGTTAGGGGTGGTGACACCTTGGTGGTGACTACCAAGATGGAGTAGGGGTGACCCAAGTGTGGACTTGCTGAGATGAGGCTGTGATGTCACTGCAAAGAGTGTGACACTGGTGGCATCAGGACTGGTGACTGTCATGGTGGTGTCACTGGGGGGTGGCACAGGAGTGTGACACTGTGGTGGCACAGCTGAAACAGGGCCTGGCACCACTGGGACAAGGCTGGGGGCACCGCTCTGGCATCACTGCAGGGTGGAGCAGGAGTGTGACACTGGCAGCACTGCTAGCGTGCTGTGAGGTGAGGCTGCCGCATTGTCCCCATGGTGCACTCAGTGTCCCCATCCCACAGGCACAGCACTGCGCCACTGTGATGAGCACAAGGGCTGGTTGCCCCCCAACCTCTTCAACTGCAGCACGCTGGCCTTTGCTGCCCTTCGCCCCTGGGTGAGCTGGGGAACACCAGCAGCAGCCATGCGACAGTGCCACTGGGGCTTCCCTCATTCTGTATGTGTCCCCCCAAGGCGGAGCAGTTGGTGGGCAATGAGTCCCGGTGGGATGCAGGGCAGTCCCGGCGCGTGGCGCTGGCACTGCGCGAAGCAACGCGTGAGGCCCGCGGGTACTTCGGCAGTGACGTGCACCTGGCATACCGCCTGGCAGGGGCCCTGCTGCGCCACGAGAGCCGCCAGCGCGGCTTCCGCCTCGCTGCCACCCAGGATGTGCACTTCACTGAGGTGGGCCTGAGATCACAGAGATGGGGACATGCCTGGAGGGAGAATGGGCAAAGCGGAAAAGAGGTTGGGATGATGAGCGCTCTCATGGTGGGGGATGTGGGTGCATAAGCCCAGACACCAGGGTGATGGGCAGCCTGTTGGGGAGGGATATTGGGGCAGGAGAGCAGATACCCGGGTGACAGGCATTGCGGAGGGAGGTTGAGGGAGAAGGAAGAGAGGTAGGAGTTACGGGGACCCCTTTGGGGAGGGCCGTATTTGGGCAGAGGGTCAAACACTGGGGTGATGGGCATCTGCAGGGGGAGGGGGGAGGTGTTGGTGCAGGAATCTGGGTACCAGGGTGAATGGCACCCATTTGGGAAGGGTACTGATAAGGGATCCCATGCACCAGGGTGATGGGCACCCACCTAGAGAGGAATGCTGGTGTAGGAGGTTTGATACCAGGGTGGTGGGCAGCCCTGAGCAGCGGGTGTTGGTGTGGCTCAGGGTGCAGCCTCAACTTTGTGGGGGTTCAGCACCCCCATTCCCCACTGCCAGTGCCAGGGTGCCCCAGCCATAGAGTCCTGCAGGGGAGGTTAGGGACCCCCTGCCCAGACCCTAAAGTGCCAGCTCCCAGTGCCACTACCTCTGCCTTGCCCCCAGAACCTGCTGCGGGTCGGCAGTGCGCTGCTGGACATGGGGAACAAGCGTCACTGGGAGCTGATCCAGCAGACAGAGGGTGGCACAGCCCAGCTGCTGCAGCACTTTGAGGAGTATGCACGAGCTCTGGCACGGAATATGCCCCAGACTTACCTCAGCCCCTTCACCATTGTCACCCCTAACATCGGTCAGTGGGGACGTGTGTGGCCAGAGGGCTGTGGTGGGCGGCATCTGCCTGGAAACATAGGCTTGCTGGGAACATGTGTCTGCCTGGGGACACACGTGCTCTTGGTGTGGTGCTGGGCACATGGGTATGGATATGCCTGGGGGATGTATGTGCTGGGGACAATGGACATGTGTGTGCTCAGGGAATGTGTGTGTGTTGGGGACATGGATGTGTGTCTGGGAACACAAACATGTATATACCTGGAGTATGTGTGCACAAGGACATGTGAGCTGGGAGCATGCATGCATGTCTGATGGGTACCTGGGAACATGCTGGGGACATGACATTTGTGTGGCTGGGGAATGTGTCCTGGGGAACATGGGTATGCCTAGAGGCATGTGTGTGTGTCCCTGGGGACATGGGCTGTGGTCTGTGTGCCCTGGGGTCAGTGGGTGATGAGTATAGAGTGTGCTGTGTTCTGTGTGTTCGAGGGTAGGTGGGTGCTGGGGTCAGTGGGTGCTGGGGTCCATGTGCCCAGGGACATGGGAGGGTTGGTGGCTGCTAGTGTCTTTGGGTGTATGGATTCATTGCTCCAGGGCTGTTGGATGCCAGGGTCAGTGGGTGCTGGGCTCACTGGGTTCTGGAGTCTGTGTGCCACAGGATTAGTGGGTGATGGGATCTATGGTCCTGGGCTCTGTGTGCCCCAGGATCCATGGCTCTGGGGTTCGTGGGTGCCAGGGTCGGTGAGTGCTGGGGTCAGTGTGCCCCAGGGTCAGTGGGTGCTGGCATTGGTTTGTGCTGGGCTTGGTGTGCCCTGGGATTAGTGAATGCAGAGGATAGTGTATCCTGGTGTCAGTGGGTGCCAAGGTCCATGTTCCCCAGGCTTGGTGGGTATCAGGATTGGTGGGTGCTGGTATTGGTGTGTACTGGGTCTGGTGCGCCCTGGGATCAGTGGATCAGTGAATGCTGGGGTCGGTGTGCGCTGGGGTTGGTGGGTGCTGGGTCTCTGTGCCTCAGGGTTGGTGGGGCCATGCTGGGCCGTGGGTGACGTGGTGCCACAGTGGTGTCAGTGGTGCGGCTGGACAAGAGCAGCTTTGCGGGTGCCCGCCTGCCACGGTATGAGGCGCTGCGGGGGGAGAAACTCCCAGATCTGGAGACGACCGTCATCCTGCCTGACAACATCTTCTGGCCCCTCAAGGACAGGCGTGAGTCTGGGGCATAGGGGGAACAGGGGGCAGGGTTGGGGACCCATTTGCATCCATGGGGCTGGCAGAGCTCGGGGGACTCTCCATTTGGCCATGGAGACATGGCACAGCTGGGGACCCTGGCTGGGTGCTGGCAGGGATGGGGGAACCCCAAATACCCATGGGCTGACAGGGCTGGGAATCCCAGTGCCACCATGGGGAGTCCAGTGTGGCCACAGGGCTGGGAGATTTGGGACCCCAGGATGGTACTGGCATGGCTGGGGACCCTGGTAAGGATGCAAAGACCAGGGACCCCAGGATGGCATCAGAGATCCTGGTGTGGCCGTGGCGGGGGGCAGGGTTAGGGACACAAATGTGACCATGGGGACCTCATTGTGGTCATAGAGCTGACAGGGTTGGGGACCCTGGTGTGGACATGGGGACCCCTGGAGCTGGAAGTGTTGGGGGAACCTTGTTGTGGTCATGGCACTGGCAGAGCTGGGGACTCCAGGGTGGCCATAGGGACCCCAATGAGGTCTCAGAGCATTATGCTGCCCCCTGTCCATGGCCCCCCAGGCTCCTCAACCGGGCATGGGCAGGCACCACAGGCCACAGGTGGGCAGGAGGAGGAGGAAGAAGATGAAGCAGGCGAAGAGGAGAAAGTGGAAGAGGAGGAGGCAGGGATGACGGTGGTGACCCGGCACAAGCGCCACCCATCCCTGGGTGAGGGCCAGGCCATCGTCAGTGTCATCATCTACCGTACCTTGGCTGGTCTCCTGCCCCAGCACTTCGACGCCGACAAGCGCAGCCTCCGGTGCCACTGGGGATGGGGGCCTGGAGGGCTGGGGGTGGCACATGGGGTGTGAGGGCAAAACCAAGCATCTAGGGGGCAAGGGAGATGGGGCCAGGGGTGTCTGGAGGGTTCCCAGGGGAGGAATGGTAAAGGGGACACATGGGGTACCCAAGGCTGGGAGGCACAGAGAGTGCCTGAGGATGGGGGACAGAGGGTTGGGGAGGGGGCTCAAGGGATGCCCAAGGATGGTGCACATGGGGTGCCCAAAAAAGAGGGCACAGGGGAGAAAGGAGTGCCCAAAAAAGAGGACAGGGTAGAAAGAGGTGCCCTCACAGTGTCTGTGTGGTGCCAGGACACTCTGTGGCACCAAGGTGGGTTTTGGGGCACCCTGAGTGGGCTCCCTGACACCAATGTCCCCCAGGGTGCCCAAGCGCCCCGTCATCAACACACCGGTGGTGAGCATCAGCGTGCACACGGGGGGTACAGATGGCGTGGGGGGCATGGGGACCCCCCAGGTGCTGGCCAAGCCCATCACCCTCCAGTTCCGGCTGTTGGAGACCCAGGAGCGCTCCAAGCCCATCTGCGTCTTCTGGAACCACTCTCTGTGGTGAGAGCAGGACAGGGGACACCACAGGGGTGACAGGAGCGCCCTGGGGGCACTGGGACATCCCAGCAGAGAGGGACATGGGATTGGGGATGGGAACACCTTGGGGAAGATGGGTACACTCCAGAGGGACAAGGGATCTCCCCAGGGAGACAGGAGATCTGGGTGTAGCAACATCCTGGGGAACAGAGGATATCACAAGGAACACCCTGGAGGGATGGGAATATCTTGGGGAGTCAGGGACAACATGGGAGGACACAGACATGCTGAGGTAACAGGGGACATAGCACACACCAGGGCAACAGGAAACACTGTGGGGGGAGAGGGGCCATGGAAATAGGGACACCCCAGGGAGATGAGGACACCTCAGAGGGGACAGCAGATGTGGAATGGGGACACCCTAAGGAGATGGGGACACTCTGCAGGTACAGGGAGCATGGAGAAGGGGACATCCCATGGAGACAGGGGACATAATAACAGGGATAAGGACACCTTGAGGCGACAGGGGATGTGGGAATAGGGGACAGGGCAGGATGGATGCCCTAATAACCCTGTGGGTCATGGGTGAGTAACATGGGAGCAGGATGTGAGGGGGCAGTTCTAACCCTGGTGGGTGAGTGTCCCCAGGTGGCAGCAGTTGTCTCTGCTGGGTGGATGGATATCCCAGTGGGTGGGTGTATGTTGTCTGTGGATGTACCTGGTGGGTGTGAGTCCCTGTGGGAGGCTGACACCAGCGGGTGTCCCCAGTGCGTGTGTCCCTGGTGGATTTAAAGGAGTGGAGCTCCACAGTGTGGGTGGGGTTTTGAGGGGCATGGTTGAAGTGCTGTGAATGCTGGTGGGTGTCCAAGTGTGTGATGCCTTGGATGGATGTCCTGGGTTGGGTGCATGTCCCTGGGTGGGAGTGGATGTTCCCGGTGGGTGTCCCTCGTGGGTGTCCCCAGTGGGTGAGTGGGTGTCCCTGGTGGGTGTCGCAGTGTGCGTGTATGTGTTTGTCCCGGTGGGTGTCCTGGCAGGTTTCGCGGCTCATGTCACTTTCTGGTGCTGCGCAGGGCGGGCAGTGTAGGTGGCTGGTCCGCACGAGGCTGCGAAGTCGCCTTCCGCAACCAGAGCCACGTCAGCTGCCAGTGCCACCATCTGACCAGCTTTGCCGTCCTCATGGACATCTCCCGCCGAGAGGTGGGGACATAGGGGGACACGGAGGGGTGCATGGGGGCACAGGGTGACAGATGTGACACATGGGATGTGAAGGGACACAGTGACCCTGGGGAAATGGAATGACTCAGGGTGAGGGCCCTGATGGGGACATGGGGCTGGATGGAGACACATGCAGAAATAGGCACAGGGTGTCAGGTCGTGCCAGGCACAGGGGCAGGGCTTTATGGACAAGGGCGGGGATTTTGATAAAAGGGGAGGGACAGGGATAGGAGGGGCAGGGTCAGGGTGGAGGTGAGAGTGCTCATGGAGGTGGAACTGAGGGAAGTGTGGGGTTTAAATGGGATGGCGCTAAATCCAAGGGGTATGGCTAAATCCAGTGGGTGGGGCTCCCTTGAGGCAGAACTAAGTGGGATGGGCGGGGCTATGTCAGTTCTGGCAGAGCTCCCCCAGGTGCTGGTCCAGTCGGCCTGAGTGGGATTCCAGTGGGTGCAGCTGAGCAGGGTGGGCCGGTTGGTCTCCAAGGGGCAGAGCTGATGTGGGTGGGGTTACAAGAGGTGTCGTTTAGTGATGCAGGCATGTTTTCAGGGGCTGTGGCTGAATAATGTGGGCAGGGTTTCCTGGGGCGGGGTTGAAAACTGTGGGTGGGACATAAGGAGGTGCAGTCAGTGTTGTGGGTGCGGCTTCAGGGGGCAGGGTCCAGTGCAGGTGGGGTTGAAAGGGGCAGAGCTGAGAGATGTGGGTGGGGTTTTGAGGGCTGGGGCTTAGTGGTATGGGAGAGGTTTAAAAGGGTGGAGCTACAAGATGTGGGTGGGGTTTTGAGGGGCATGGTTGAAGTGCTGTGATAGGGGTTTCAAAGGGTGGGGTTACCAGGGGCGGGGCTGAATAATGTGGGCAGGGCTTCCTATTGGGCTATGCATTGTGGGCAGGACTTCCCAGGCCCAGGGACTGATTGTTTTGTATGACGGGGATGTCTGGGGGTGCGTGCCACTGAGCACATGCCTGACATATGCCGATCCTGGTGCTGCAGAACGGGGAGGTGCTGCCGCTGGCAGCACTCACCTACGGCTCACTGGGCGTGGGGCTGGCGGGGCTGGCGCTGGTGGTCCTGGCCCTGGGGACCCTGAGGCGGCTGCACTCCAACCGCCACAGCATCCGCCGGCATGGCACAGCTGCACTGTTCCTTGCACAGCTTGTCTTCCTGCTTGGCATCAACCAGGCCGATGTCCCGGTGTGTGGGAAAAGGGGGCTGGGAAAGGAGGGAAGGAGTGGGGATCACTGGGAAGGGGTGGTTGGGTCAGGGGATCTGTTGCCTTTGAATTGTTTGGGTTGGTGGGGCTGAAATGGGTGGGGCTAAGGAGTGGGCATGGCCATGGTGGGCTGGGCCTAAGGGGTGGCAGCTAAAAGACATGAGGACTATAATGGGTGGGGCCTGTCAAAGGGGTAGTGATCTGAAGGGGTGGAGTCTGTATAAAGGGGTGGGGCTTGCAAAGCAGAGGGTCTGATAAATGGGGTGAGGCTCCCTAAGGGATACATCTTATCTCAAAGGGGTTGGCTGTCAAGGGGGTGGGGCCCATCAAAGGGGTGGGGCACTCAAGGGGTGAGGCCCATAAAAGGAATGGGACCTTTTAGAGGAGTGTGACCTCAACAGGGGAATGATGTCTCAAAGGGGGAGCTCGGGAGGTTGTGCATATGGTTGGATGGGTGAGGCTGTGGGCACGGCCAGGGTACAGGCTGTGGGCTGGCACTGATGGGGCGGGTGCAGCTGGCGTGCACGGTGGTGGCCATCCTGCTGCAGTTCCTGTACCTGAGTGCGGTAGGCTGGGCGCTGCTGGAGGCCCTGCACCTGTACCGGTGCCGTAGTGAACCCCGTCATGTCGACCGTGGTCCCATGCGCTTCTACCATGTACTGGGCTGGGGACTGCCTGCCTTCATCACCGGTGAGCCCTGCTGTGAAACCCTGCTCTCATTCTCACCCCGTGCCCTGGACCACCAGCTGCCCACCTCCACCTGGGTCAACAATTTTTGGTGGCTACACACCTTCTAGGCTATGGCCTGCTGCCTGAATCTCACTCCTGCAATCAATTTGATGCATGGTGGGGTCCTATTTCCATGTGTAACCCTACATCCAGAATATAGGCCCACCCCCAAATCCATCTTTACCATCATAGCCACACCCCTGGATATAACCCTGCGTCCAGCAGAATAGTCATGCCCAATCCAAAACAGCCCCACTCCAAGAGTTTAGCTCCACCCTTAACCACCATAGCCCCACCCTGATACATAGGCAGAGTCATAGCTATGCCCTTGTGTCTTGGTTTGGAAAGATGGGAGTCTGCTAAGGAAGGCAGCAGCCTCCCCTGACATGGAGAATGTAAACCCTCCCCACCCCTCCGAATTGCTATAAATTTTAAATTAAGGGGCTCTCAGGCAAAAAATATGGGAGCAGGAAATAACAGTTCTTTAATAGGGAAAAGAAAAAAAAAAAAAGATAAAATAAAATATGCAGTCCACTAGAACAACAATGACCAAGTGAGAACCCAACCTGACACCCTACAGGTCAGGGTTGGTGGCAGTCCAATTGGAAATGTGGCTGCAGTCCTCCTGAAGTATCAGGTGTGGTTCTGTTGGAGCAAGGGGAATCTGTAGAGAAGGATGTATTCTGCCTCTGAAGATCCAGTGGAAGGAGAGGCAGCTGCTGTTTCTCTGGGGAATCCCGTGGAGAAAGCCATGCTGGTGTCTCAAAAATTTCTGGATTATATCTGGGTAGCAATGCTTGGCTCCTCCCTCTGGGCGGAGCATCTCACAATGGGATGTTATAGTTCTTATCAGTCATGCAGTGACATTCAATAGTCTGTTATCAGCAGATGTCCCCTCCCCAGGGAGGTGTGATTGTGGTCACTCAAAGAGATAAAGCAAACTGCCCACTTGACAAAGGTAATCTGCCATACAGATGGTAATGGAAAACAACTTGCATTGCAATCTTCAACACCTTGTCTATCAGACCCAGTCCCCAAGATTTTACAGGCCCCTGGGTCCATAATCCTACCCTCATTCATCATAGCTCTGCCTCCAAACTTTCAGACACACCCCTGGGGTCATAGCCCCCTCCCAAAGAGTATAACCCTGGCGAACATTTTATCCTCACCGCAAGAGTTTAGCCCCACCCTCATCCATCATATCTCCACCCCAAGAGCATCTTTCCCAATGTCTTCAATATGCTCCCAGGGCCATAGCCTTTCTCCATCAATCGTAGTCAGATACTCCCCCGGGATCTTAGCCCTGCCCTCATCAGCATAACCCCACCTCCAGAGACTAGATCTGTATTAACCTCTTAGACAAGCCCCCTGTGCCATATCCCTGCTCTCACCAACACTGCCACATGTCCAAGAGCTTAGGCAAATCTCATTTGCATAGCGTTGTTTCTACCCAGCATAGCCACACCCCCAAGAGCAGCACCTTCTCGCCAGTCCTGTGCTGCCCATGAGCCATTCCCTGCCATTCCATGAGCCCCATCCTGCCATAGCTTCACAATGTTTAGCCCCGCTCCTCCCACCTTAGCCCCGTCTACTTTTATAGCCCCATCCACTGAATTGGCCCCACTCCTGATCTCTCCTTTGCAGGGCTGGCGGTGGGGTTGGACCCCGAGGGCTACGGGAACCCCGACTTCTGCTGGCTGGCCCTGCACGACAGCCTGGTGTGGAGCCTGGCTGGGCCTTGCGCTGCCGCCCTTGCTGTGTGTACAGGGCTGGGGGCTGGGGAGGGCATGGGACCCCTTATCACCCTCCTCACTCCCTGCACCCCCAGGTCGGCATCTTCTTCTTGGTGCTGGCAGCCAGGGCCACCTGTGCCACCCCCCAAGGCTTCCAGAAAAAGGGCTCAGCGTGAGTCACCCAGGCGGGGTCACCTGCAGGGGGCAGGGGACACAGCGGGGATGGGGTTACCTAAGAGGGGCATGAGAGGTTGGGGCACCCATAGAGGTTGCGGTGCACTGGGGGCTGGGGGGCACACATAGGGAGCTGGCCTTTTGGGGAACCTGGAGAGGGCAGGGAGGCACAGGATGGACTGCGGCATCCATGGGGGGCAGGAGGGTACTGGGGACTGGGCTGCCTATGGGGCAGGGGTAGGAGGGGACAGTGGCGTCTGGGGTATCTATGGGCGCAGAGCAGCCGTGGGGAGGCAAAGGGGGGGCATGGGGGGCAGGGGGGTACGGGGGGCTAGAGCCAATGGGGGCATGGGGGCACGGGAGGTTGGGGCGACTGTGGAGGGCAGGGGGGCACAGGAAGGACTAGGACACCCATGGTGGGTTGGGGGATAGAGAGGTCTGGGGCATCTGTTGAGGGCAGGGGGGCACAGGAGGTTGGGGCACCTGTGGAGGTCAGGGGGGCATCAAGGGCAGAGGCCCCCATGGGGGACTGAGGGGGTCAGGGGAGATTGGGGCATCTAGGGGGGCAGGGGGTTACAGAGCACCCATGGGGAGGCAGAAGGGCATTGGGGCAAGGGGCACAGGGGGCTGGGGTTAGGCTGGGCCCACAGGGAACAGGGGAGCTCAGGGGGCTGGAGCACCCATGGATGGCAGAGTGGGTCAGGGGGAAGTTGGGGCATCTGGAGGGGGAGGGGGCCATGAGGGGCTGGGGCAACCCCAGGGATCAGAAATACAGAGGGCTATGACATGTCATTGTGGTAACACTGGGTGCCATTGGGGTGCTCAGGTCTGGGGTGCGCACAGCTGCAGTCCTGCTGGCCATGCCTAGCCTGGCCTGGCTTCTGGCCCTGCTCTCAGTCAACAGTGACACGTTGCTCTGTCACTACCTGTTCGCCGCCTCCAACTGCCTCCAGGTCAGTGGGAACCACCTGAGACTCCACTCGTGGAACCTCCAGAGCCACCGCCCCTGGGACCCCCAAAGACTCCAGAACCCCAAAGCCTCTGCCCCAATGACCATGACCCCTGGGACTCCCAGAGATCCCAGAGCCCCCTGAAACTCACACCCTTGGCACCTCCAGAGTCCCACACCTATTTGTAGGGCACCCAGTGGGCACAGAGAGGTCCTTTGCCATATCCAGGGCACTAATGGGAGGTATCCAGTGTGTACGGGAGCACCTCAACCACTCCGTGGTGCCCATGGAGGGCACCCAGTGCATATGGGGGTCCCTCATCCAATTTGAGATATCAGTGGTGGGCATGCTCATTCTCTTTGAGGTGCCAATGGGATGCACCCAGTCTGGATGGTGACCCCTTGACTGGTCCAGAGTGCTGCTGGTATCCTCCCAGGCTGTACACACCCTTCCTTGTCCCCCCGCCCCCTTTCTGCCCAGGGCCCCCTCATCTTCCTGTCCTGTGTGGTGCTGAGCAAGGAGGTGCGAAGGAGCCTTCGTCTGAGCTGTGCCCGCTGCCACCACCCACCGCTGGCCACCAAGGCCACCCTCACTCCCGTGAGTGCTGGGCCACATGGGGGGTGCCAGGAACAGAAGGGCAACCTGTGCCATGGCCATGACATCCTTGTGCCCTTGGCAGGCCTATGGTAGGGACAGCACATACGTGGCAGGGAGACTGTACCCCCCTCCAGGTGGTGGGTCCTCGGGGTCCCTGCACAGCACTGCACGCTCGGGCAAGAGCCACCACAGCTACATCCCCTTTGTGCGGCGGTACTGGGCACAGCTGGGACCGGGGCATGGGTTTTTGTGGGGTCCTGAGCTGGTGTGGCACTGGGATGACAAGATGGAATGGTGATGGGATGGTGGGGTAGCGGGGTGCTGGGGTGGTTGAGTGGTGGGTTGTTGGGGTGGCAATATGGCATTGCATGGCATTGGAGTATTGGGATGGTGGGTGGTGGGGTGACATAGTTGTGGGGGTGTTGGGATTGGTGGATGGTGGGGTGGCGTGCTTGTGGGGGTATTGGGATGGCTGGGTGGTGGGGCAGTGGCATGGGTGCCCAGCACTACAGTGGCAGGGTGTCATGCACGTGGAGTGGTGAGGTGGCAGGGTGGTCACAGAGTGGGGGCTTGAGAGGGTGTTGGGGTGAAGAGGTGGCAGGAGTAGGTGTCAGGGTGATGGGTGTCAGTAGATATTGGGGTGTTGGCAGTGTCAGTGGATGGATATTGTGTCAGTGGGTTGGTGTCAGTCAGTGGGTGACAGTGGATGGTAGGTGTTTGTGAGTGGGGATCAGGTATTGATGGGTATTGTGTCTCCACAGGGAGGACTCAGGTCTGGCAGGCAGCCCGGGGCCAGTTCCGCTGCCCGAGCCTGGGGGGCTCTTCCTTGACGCCCAGGACCAGCCCGAGGGTATGGCCTCACCCATGGGGCAAGTGCCCCTAGCCTCAGCCCAGGGGGCAGGAGGTGTCTCTGGGCACCTCCTGACCTGTGACCCCCCCCAGAGCACGACACAGAGTCGGACAGTGACCTGTCCCTGGATGACCCGAGTGGATCCTATGGCTCCACACATTCCTCCGACAGCGAGGATGAGGCCCCACGTGGCTGGGACCCCCTGCCCGGGGCTCTGACAAGTCCCCCCGGCCCTGGTAACACCCCCAGGGGGCACCCCATGGAGATGGGGGACCTTCAGCCTGGCTGGGTGCTGATGGGGGGCACCCAATGGGTTGGGGGAGGTCCCTCGCCTTATCCAGGACAGTGATGGGGAGCACCTGGTGGGGGTAGGGGTCCCTTGTCCAGTCTGGAGTGGTGATAGGGCCATTGAATAGATTTGGGGGGGTGGGAGGAGGTCTCTCATCTTGCCTGATGCAGGAGGCACACAGTGGACAAAGGATCCCTGGTCCAGCCTGGAGTTCTGATAAACACATAGTGGGTATAGTGGGTAGGAGGGAGAGGGTCCCTTGTCCGGTCTGGTGTGGTGATGGGAGACATCTAAAAGGTTTGAGGGTTCCTCATGCAGTCAGAGGTGCTGACTGGGGCTCCCAGGGGGGAAAGATGGCCCCTTGTCCAGTCTGAGGTGTGGATGGGACTGATGCAATGGGTTTGGGTGCATTTCTCACACTGACTATGTGGTGATGGGGGCACCCAGTGAGGATGGGAGGGGTCCCTGGTCCTGCCTGTCCCAGCTTCCTTCCTTCCCCGCAGGTGACCCCCTAGTGCCCCCGGGATGCCCATACTGGCCAGGGGAGTTTGTGACAACAGCGAGTGAGAGTGAGGGCCCAGGAGGTAGCGAGGGGCTGCGAGTGCAGCCAGCAGGGGGGCAGGGACACCCCTGCGGTGACTCCCCGCGGCCCAACGGCGAGGCACTCTCCAGGGACCCCCTGCTGCTGCCCCTGCCTCACCCCCACAAAGGTATGGGCTGCCATGGCATGGGTGGGCACTCCAAATCTGGCCTCCCCACCCATGAGTGATACTGCTCCTGCAGGGATACTGAAGAAGAAGTGCCTGCCCCCCATCAGTGAGCGGGGCAGTGCCCAGCGCCCTGGGCCACCCCCACCGCCTCCTGCTTGCACGGCTGCCTCCTCAGGCAGTGATGTGGCCCCCCCCCCCGTCCCCCGGCCTCGGCAGAGCCTCCAGGAGCAGCTCAGCGGCCTCACCCCCATTGCCATGAGCATCCGCACAGGCACTGCAGACGAGGACTCCTCTGGCTCTGAGTGAGTGCCCACCACATCTGAGGGGTGCTCACTGGGAGTTATTTGGGTGCCAGGATTCCCTCTGGGCACCTGTTGGGTTTGAGGGTGCCCTTGGGGTGCCAGGGTTCCTGTTGGGTGGACAAGCAGTCAAACACCACTTGTTGGGTACCCTTTGGGTGCCTATCAGATGCAAGGATAGCTGGGTACCAGGGTGCCAAGGTTCCTGTTGCACTCTCATTTGGTGCCAGGGTTTCTCTCAGGTGCCATCCATTGGGCACACATTGGATCCAACACTGCTTGTTGGCTGCTCATCAGGTGCCACAGTACTGACTGGACACCCATTGGGTACAACATTACCTGTCGGATATCCATCAGGTTCCAGGGTTCCCTTTGGGTGTCCAATGGGTGTCAGGGTGCCCAACAGTTGCCCTTTGGATGCCCATCAGGTGCCAGGGTTCCTTCTTGGGTGCTCATCAGGTCCCAGCAGTCCCTTTGGATCCAATGAATATTGGGTGCCAGATCCAATGAATATTGGGTGCCAGGTTGCGCGTTGGTGCCCATCACATGTAGGGTGTTTGCTGGGTGTCTGTAGGGTGCCAGGGTAACCAACGGGTGACCATTGAGTGCCAGGATTCCTCTTGGGTGCCCATGGGGTGCAAAGGTGGTGTTGGTTTTCCACTAGATTCCTACTGGGTGCCCATTGAGGGTTGGGGAACCCACAGAATACCCATTGGATACCCATTGAATACTCACTGGGTGTTCATCAGGTCTAAGTGCACCCGTTGGATGCCAGTTGACTGTTCATGGGTCCCTATCGGATGCCCATTGTGCATCCATTGACCATTATGTATCCATTTGGTGTCCACTGACTGCCCATTGGGTGCCTAATGACTTCTGTGTGCACACTGGGTGCCCCTTGGGTCTAACAACACCTGTTGGGTGTGCGTTAATTATTTGTGAGTGTCCACTGACCACTGGGTGCCCCTTCGGTCTAACAGTGCCCATTGGGTGTTGGAGTGCATGTTGGGTGCCCACTGACTGTCCAAAGGTGCCCGTTGACCACTGGGTGCTCACTAGGTGTCAGGGTGCCCATTGGAGTGTTCACTGGGGGCTGGGGTGCCCACTGGGTACCCCTGACCACCCACAAATGCCTAGGGCAGAGATGGCACAGCAGAACTAACCCTACTCTTTTCTCCCCCTCTACCCCCCAGATTTCTGTTTTTTAATTTTCTCCATTAACCCAAGGGGGCTGGGGGCTCCCCCCCAAACCCCACCCCACCATCTCGTCCCAGGGGTTGGCGCTGGGTGCTGGGGGGCACAGAGGGCACCCTGGCGTCCACCTCCTCCATCAAGCATCTGTCTGTCTTGTTTTTTATTCTCCCCCCATCCTGCACTTTGTATCCATTCCCCCCCCCCTCCCCCCATCTGTCTGTCCCCCCACCAGGAGCGACGAGACCTCGATCTAATGGGGACCCATCCAGCAGGCAGCCCACCCACTGTGCCAGGGACACCAGGACAGGGAGGGCACCAGCATGGTGGGGGCAGGGGGTAGAACACACCAGGACTGGGGGTGCACAAGGACTGGGAGGACATCAGGAAGGAGCAGGGAGCCACAACCATCCCCCCAGTGCACTTTGCATCATTGCAGGGATTGACACCTTGGGAAGGTGGCACAGGGTGCCCCTGTTGTCCCCCCATGATCACCCCCAGCACCTTTGCCCAGCAGAGTGTTTTATTTAAAAAATACATGAAAATACAAAAAAAGGAATTTATAACCAACTTCCCCCGTTGTGCCAACCCCCCTTTGCCCCCCAAGGTGCCAACTCCCATAAAGGTGTCCCATGGTGACAACTCCCCCAGGTGGGGAGCATATGGAGGGGGGATCAGCTAGGAGTTAGAGGGAAATCCGGGACCCCCCTGCCCAGGGGTGAGGCTCAGGTGGGGGAACGCAGGGATGGGTGTTGGGGGGATGAGAGGACCCTGGTTGCTGGGGAATGTGGGGGGTTTCCTACTGCTGATGAGACATTTTGTAATTAAAGCAAAACTCAATGAGTGCCACGGCTCATCCCTGGGGACGCCCCTGGCTCTGCCACCCCAACCTCAGCTGGTCCCTGGGGGTTCCAGCTCTGCAACCTGTCCAACCTGTCAACCCAACGGGTGCCTTGGCTGCTCCCTGGGGGTCCTGGTGCTGCCTGCCTCCTTCCAAAACCCAGTGGATGTCTCAACTCATCCCTGGGGTGGCCTTGGCTCTGCCCCCCACCAGCCTAGGTACCTTAGCTGGTACCTAGGGGGGGTCTGGGTGCACCCAGGGCCTCTGGGTGGGTGTGGGGTGGTTTGGGGGTGTCACCTCGGGGTGCTGCTCACCGCCGTCTTGCGGGAGGGCCGCAGGCGGGTGGGAGGGGGTCCTGGTTTGCACCCCGAGGCACCAGTTGTGGGGGCTGCCCGTGCTGCCCCTGCACCTGCAAAGGAGAGAGAAGCCACAGGGAAACTGAGGCATGGGGGATGGGGCATCCCCTGCGCCCCCCGAACCCCGTTACATCCTTACCTCTGGGGGTGGGGGTCCTCCCACCACCTGCTGGAGTCCGAGGGGACACCTTGGGGAGGGCAGTGGGTGCCGGGGAACAGCCGGAGGGGACAGGGATGGTGGTGGTCCTGGTGTGGGGCTGGCGGGTTGGGGGGGGGCAGGAGACTGTGCCCCCCCTCACCTTAGCCTGGCCTGGGGAGAGAGGGGGGGTTGGGGTACGGCCCAGGAGCCCCCATGGCCATGGTGTCCCCATTCCCTTGCCATAACTACCTGCTGTCCCCGCCTGGGGGGGCTCTGACCTGCCCCGGGCACCAGCCCTCTGCCCCTGGGGAGGGCATGGCCGGGGCGGGCCCGCGCGGCTTGCGGGGAGCCCCCTGCCACCCAAGGGTCCCTTTGCTGCTGCTGTGGAATTACGGCTGGGGGGTGCCTGAAAATAGAGTGGGGGACATCACTCAGTGAGTGCTCCCCCACCCACAGAGCTGGGGGGTTCACGATGCCCCTTGGAGAAAGGGGGGCACTCACTGCCCCCATCCAGGATGGGTTTGGGGGGGATCTGGGTGTTCAGTCCAGGTGGGACACAGCCACACTGGGAACCCTACCCCCGGGTCTCACCTACCTTGGGGACACTGGTGGTAGCAGAGGCCCCCCGGGGCTTGGCGGGGGGGCGGGGGATGGGGGCAGGTCCCTGAGACTCCACGGTGGGCAGGAGCGCCCGCACCGGGCTGTCCTTCACCACGAAGGTCTGGCGGCGGGGGCTGCGGGGTGTGCTGGGGGACGTGGTGCCGGGTCCGGGGGGGTCTCCAGGAGCGGGAGGGGGCAGGTGACACCCCTCCAACTGTGCCGCCAGGCGCGTGGCCTCCCGCACCATCTCTTCCAGACGGGCCCCACTCAGGGGACTCCAGCGCCCGTTGCTGCCCCCGTGCCGGCACCCCCTGCCCGGGCTATCCTCATCCTCCTCTTCCTCCTGGCTGCGGATAGGAAGGGGGGAGGGAGAATGGCTGTGTCAGCCCCCCAAACACCGCTGCCAAGAAGAACACCCCCCCATGCCACCCAGGACTCCATTCATTGTGTGACATGTCCCCCAGGACCCCCAGAACCACATCTATGATGGGGACATATCCACAGGACCCTCAGAACTGTGTTCATGGGGTGACCCATGAGAACACCATCTTTGGGGTGTGATATCCCTCATGGCCCCCAGAACTCCAGCTAAGAGTTGCCACATCCCCCACAACGCCATCCATGGGGTGACATGTCCCCTAGGACATTGACAATGAGGTTCCCTGTCCTCCATGTCCCATCCTATTCCCCACGTTTCCAACTACAAGGTGCCCTGTCCCCCCTGTTCCCATCCATGGGGTGCCCTTGTCCCCACTACCCTCCCATACCTGTCAGACGGCGACAGCACACCGAAGTCGAAGCTCTCCTCGGTGACAAATCGAACATCTAGGGGGACACTGGGGGTGAGCCCCGGCCCCCCGCCCCAGGGGGGAAACACGGGGGACATGCAGCACTGGTGCTGCCGTACCTCGGTCCTCGGCCATCGCCTCGGGGCACCGGGGCCACCTGCGGGAGCTGGGGGGGGTCACCACCGACCCCATCGGGGTTCCCCACCCGTGCCCCTACCCGCCCCTCGCCGTGTCCCCAACCCCCCGCGGGGGACCGGTGGCACCAGCCAGCGCGCGGATGACACGGCCAGTGCCAGGCACCGCTGGGCTCGGTGCCACTGGGATGGGGACAGGGATGGCTCCGCCAGCGCCAGTAGGCGGGGGTGACACTGGCGACCCCTGCCCGGGAAACCCACAGCCAGCACCCCCAGCCCGGGTGTCCTCAGTGCCACGATGGGAAGTCCCAGCCCCGCACCCTGATCCGTGTGAGTCCCCAGTGCCACAATGGTGGTTCCCAGTCCCTATCGGGGACCCCAGCCCAACACTGAGTGGGCCCAACCCCGCTGGGAGGTCGCAGCCCCACACCCAGGGGAGCCCCAGTTCCACACCCAGAGGGTCCCAGCCCCACACCCACACCCCGATCCCGGGGGACCCCCAGCCCCACACCCCGATTCCGGAGGATCCCCAGCCCCACATCTTGATCCTCAGGGGGTCCCATCCCCATGCAAGAGGACCCCATTCCCGTACCTAGAGATCCCAGCCCTTCACCCCCAGTCCCTCAGGGACCCCAGCCCCACACTGAGGGGTCCCAGCTCTGCGTCTCGATCCCGAGGGAGGCCCATCCACATTCCTAGGCCTCCCAGCTCCCATACCGGCGGAGGTCTCAGACCCAAACTCCGACCCTGGGGGTCCCATTCCCACTCCTAGGCCTCCCAGCCGCACACTGTGGGGTCTCAGCCCCATAATGGGGCGATCCCTCCCCCACACCTGTGGACTCAGCCCCAGCCCAGGAGACCCCAGTCCCACACTGGGGGGTCCCAACTCCAGACTAAGAGGGTTCCAGCCCCACCGACGAGTCCCAGCCGCGCACCCCAATCCCTTGGTGACCCCAGCCCCACACTGAGAAGGTCCCAGCCCCCACCGGGGGCCACAGTCCCAGCCCTGGGGGTCCTCAGCCCCTACCAGGGGGTCCCAGCCCCTCACCCCGACCCCACGTCTCCCCATCTCCGCATGGGGTGGTTTACCCGGCGCTCCGCGGCCCACCCGATCTCCCCGCCGGTTTCCCCTCTCCCCGGGGGTTTCGGTCTGCCCTCGTCCCCCCTCTCCCCCGCCACCTCACCGCCCCCGGCTCCCGCTCGTCGCGCGCGCCGAGAAGGCGTGGCCTAACGAAAGGGGCGTGGTCTCGTTCGAATTCCCCCTCCCCTTGCGGCTCAAACGCGGCGCGCCCGCCCCGGGTTCCGATTGGCCTGCTCCCTTTAAGTGTGCATCCTGATTGGCCAGTCTCCTCGCCTTTCGTCTCGATGATTGGCTCTTCCCCTCCCCCACGCCCCGCCCCCAACAGCTGGGGGTGTGGCCCGGAAGCGCGGCGCCTGAGGGTCGTTCCGCCATCGGTTCCTCCGCAGCATGGCCGCCGTCCCGCCCGACTCCTGGCAGCCCCCCACCGTTTCCATGGAGACCACGTAAGGGGCGGGGCATCGCCCCGGTACCGGCACCGGTACCGGCACGGGAGGCCCTGCCCACCCCTTGTCCCGCCCCCTTCCGCGGCACTGGCGGTAAATCGGTGTCCGCTCCCTCTCTCCCCGGCTTCCGTGCAGCCCCGGTGTTCTTGAGTCCCTGATCCTCCCGGTACGGGGCAGTCCCCGGTGTCCGTGAGCCCCCGGTGTCAGGCAGACCCTGAACTCCACAGGTGCTAAGAAACTCCTAGTGTCTCCAGAACGGGACAGCTCCGTTATCCCCCAGTATGAACCAGTCCTGGTTTCCGCCCCGATACTAGAGAGCCCCTGGTTCTCTCGGTGTCCCCCCTGGTGTTCGTAACCCCCAGGCCCTTCGGTACCAGGCAGATCCCAGTGATCCCGTGGTATCCCGTTAGCCCCAGTGTCTCCCGATACTGCACAGAACCAGGCAGTCCTGCTTATTTCCCCTGTTACCAAGAGCCATCCATGTCCTCCTGGTGTCCCATTGCCCCCCATCCTCTCTCACCCCTGTGGTCCCTGTCCCTGACTGACCCTGGGGGATATGAGGGGGGAGTGGGGGATCACGTTGAGGTGTTTCCTGTTACCCGTCCTGTTCTTGTTCCCATTCCCATTCCCAGTATTCCTATTTCCCATTCCCTGGATGGGCGTGCTTGGTGCTGGAGCTGTACTAACAGCACAGCCCCCTGATTTTGGTCTTAAACCGGGGTTGGGGGTCACAGTGGGATGACCCTGCCCTGCAGCTGCAAGAATTGACCCTATAGGTGGAAGAGTTCACAGCAGGGTGACCCACCCCATCTCC